CCTCAGAAGAGGTAAAATGCAGCCCAGTCTGAATGTGATTGTCTGTCAGGGACAAGGCTGAGTGAAATTTAGCTGCATCATAAGGTCATTGTTACAATTTCAACTAATGTTCATTGCTTTTCTTTACACCAAACTTTCACAAAAATTATCAAGCACGAAGTCAAGAATACTGGCTTGATACATCCCTGCGTAGAATATACAACTTTATTTTTATATCTTCAAATGACCATTTCACGCAGATGCTACCTACTTGAATATCGATAAAGTTGATGCGTATATGGCCCAACCTTTTTTAATTACCCAAATGATATATAGTGTAATGCTGAAATGCTAATTTATGTTCTATTATGCAATTCGATGATGCGACATTTTCGATTCCACTAAGATGTTAGGACTGTAAGCAGACTCTAAGCTAGTCAAGTCTCCTTTCACTAGATGGCTTGTCCTAACCCTTCGTCAGGGTTTTGCTAAATGGTCATGGGTAGATAGAAGCCTGATGCTGTCATTAAGGTCATGTTATATCCCAATAATTCCGCAAAGTTTGGCTATAAGAAGTAAGAAGGGTCGCAATTAGCCACCATCCTTGGCTTCACATTTGATTGATATTTAGGCGTAATCAAATCTCATTATGTCCATGTCTGACTCTATACGACATATGAAAACCCAGTTCTTATTCACCGCGGTCAGAGAGTGATGCACAGAGGACTTAGACGTGCAGATATGCAGTCACCAATCCAAGGCAAACTTCCTTCGGTTTTAGGTTGATGTTCAGCCCAACTTTCATGTGAAACGAAAGCCAATGGAATGAAACTATTAAAAGACTATTCAAAGCCTAGCTTTCAACCATTTACGCGTAGAATACAACTCTACAAATCATACCCCTTCACTAATAAAATGAGATTAATTTGTCGTTTTCTGAATATTTCCGCATATAAATCTAACTGCCTTACTATTTCGCGTGAGCCGAAAGTAAGCGAAGTTGTGATATATCAGAAGAACCATTAAAACGCAAGTATAGCTAAACCTATAATAATAATTATGCTGATTTCTAGCTTAATTTATTCACCTAACATAAATTGATAAAATGAGTAGGTTTTCAAGACTACCAGTAAATCAGATGAATAAGTAATGCTCACCCTACTTCGATTAAGGTGATGAAGGGCTAGTAGTTGATTTTTCCCACAATGATATGAATAGAGCTGACGTTTTCGCTGACTTTCACATAGCCTTGCTTTATCCAAAAAGTGTTCTTATCCAGCGGGAGTAGAACCGTGCCAGTGCAACGTGTAAGCTCGACACGTTAACTACTACGCCACATTACAACAAGTGCCCCTGGGTCACAGGGAAGATATAAATTTCAAGGAATGTCAGGCTTTTTCCCTATCACATTATGTGTCAGGATTGTCGATGAAGCAAGTTTGTATTTGCTATAGCAATCGAAGACATTACATTTTTCGTAAATAAGTAGACTTTTGAGACTACCAGTAAATCAGATATATGAGTTGTGTTCACCCTATTTCGTTTAGAGTGATGAAGGACTGATAGTTGATTTATCCCACAATGATATGTATATGGCTGGGAAAGCAAGGCTATGTGAAATTGAAAGGAAACATCAGATCTACTTATATGATAGGGGAAAAAATCAACTATCAGTACTTTATCCTCTTAAACGAAGTAGAGTGAATATAACTTATATGAATTTGTTGTAGTCCCATATAGTAAAAACTACGAAAAAGGTAATGGTGTCGATTGCTATAGCAACTATCAGTTTGCCTCATCGATAATCCCAACATAGAATGTGATATGGAAAATGCCTCACCTTCCTTGAAATTCATATCTTCTCAGTGACCCATGGGCAGTCGTCGCAATGTGGCGTAGTGGTTAACGTGTCAAGCTTATCCGCTGCACTGTCATGGTTCTACTGCCGCTTGTGGTATTGATGAGACCTATGCGAGGTCGAAACTTCAGTCCAACCTGGATGAGAACACCTTTTGGGAAATCAAGGCTATGTGAAATTCAATGGAAATGATAGCTCTATTCATATAATTTTGGGAAAAATCAACCAACAATCCTTGATCACCTTAAACGAAATAGGTAAACACAACTCGTATTAGCTAAGAAAGCAACAGTAACCACTCCAAGGTACGATTTAAACCAACAGAAATTAATTGCTAAATTAGCATCTTCTAAGCAAATGGCAACTGCAATTTCTGAATTCGTATCTTGAATAATAAAATAACAGAATACAGTACATACTCTTACCATTTTGCAACAAAAAAGTCACATGAAACGAGTAGGCTGATGGTACTGACGAAGAGCAAAAGCACGCATGCCATTAGGCACCAACCGCCCCCCAAATGGCCGTATATCAAATAGTCCTGCCAAGAAACAGTCTCATCGCAATCATCTTCATCCTCTTTATCATCCTGTTCGTCATCCATTTCATTATTGCCTACCTCTTGTTCGTCTTTTTCAGTTCGTCGCTGTTGCTCTTCTTCCAAGCTTGGTTTAGGTTCCTCATAGTCTAGTAAAGGGGAACTAGCTTTGCAAGAGTTCCCAGGTACAGGATAAGTAACAGGCTGAAGGTCGAGCAACGGTTCGTCGTCAAATTCTTCAACCTGCTCAGATGGCAACTTTCTGTGGGTAGACTCAAAAATGTCATAACTTTGATTAATAAGCGTATCTAATTGTCCCGAGCCGAATTGCTAAATAGAAGTAAAATAAGAGAAGAGTGTAAAATTAACTGAAATTCATAGATTAAGGCTTTAGAACGCCTGGTTCATTAAGTGCCATGCTAAAAGAGATTCATATGAATGGGGAGATTGACGCATGGACAAGGAATTCAATCATAAGAAAGGATGCACGACCACCAACAG